TGTATATTAAATTTTATGTGAGGAATACCTATTAATATATAATATAATCTTATTTTTAATGATTATATGTGCACAAAAAATATGTATTAATTACTTAATTTTATTAATCTAAATATTTATCCATGAACAAATATTTATCTTCATACGTGGTTTAACATATGGGTTTAATGATATTATGTTCCTAATAAACATATAAAGTGTTTATTTTTGAATGTAAAGAATATATTTGTAGTTGCTAATAAATTATTTATAAAACTAATTATGCATTCGGAGAAAGCATAATTGTTATTTTCTACCAATTATTTGAAGGTACATTAAGGATTATTGAGAATTACAATTTCAGTGATTTCCCAAGTTATATTAAAGCAAACTACAATGATGTAAGGTAATTGACCTATGATTTTACTCACATGTTGATATTTTATTCAATATGAAATTATTTGTTTTCTTATATGAGTTTTAACATATGAATTCCATAGTTTAATTACTCAATTTCTAAATCTTTAAGAAGATTTCGTGAAATTAAAGTTTAGGTATAACTCAGAATATATAATTTAAGATTAAATTGTTGGATATATAACAAATTTGTTAGCAATTAATTACCTTTAAGGAATAATCATGCACATTTATTAAGCATATTAGTGATAACCATTGTGGCAATGCATGAAATTTTAAAATCTCAAATAAATGTATTTGATAAAGTTTTAGGAATTTTAATATTTATGTATTTCGGTATATTTAAGATACTGATGAAGGCTTTGTATAATTTTTTTTTGAATATTAAAGTAATGAAATCAATTAGTATTGAAGGTCTTCTAAAAAGTTTTAAGTTTCTTTCAATTCATATATTATAATTATTAAAGATTATAAAAGATATGGTTAAAAAGATATGGTTAAGAGGGATTATAGAATCATACACACACACACACACATATATATATATATAGATGTTAGTCTTAATAAAATTTTATGATTAATATGAACAATGTCAATGGTTCATTTATTAGAATTAATGGTTTTTATCACTAAATATTTTGAAATATTAAGAAATTCTGTTCTAGTGAGAGATTGGTTTAGCTCTTCATAAAAATTTTGGAATGTTATATTATTTATGGACAATTGTTCTAATGGGAGTTTATGAGTTGATATGAATGGTATTGCCAAAGTGGGTCATTTACTGAGATTCACTAGTTTCTCATAAGGATTTTGAAATGTTATATTGACTAAGTGTTCTAGTGAGAGTTTATAACCTAATGTGAGTGGTACTACCAAAATGACTCATAAAAGATTTTAGAATCTTTGCTTATTGAAATTAGTATGTATAATTATCTACCCAAAGGTGATGACTATGTATATTGAATAAAAAAAGTGTGAGTGGTTAGTGAGGGTTTTTAGTTTAGTTTCATGAAGAATTTTTTGCCTAAAGGTAATTATTTTATGTGAGACTATTATTACTAATTTACTTGTAATGAAAACTCATGCATGTTTTGCCTAAAGGTGAATATGTGGTGCTACTTTTGAGTTTTAACAAAGTTTTATACTCATCAATTTTATATATCATATTATCCATGTCATTTAATCTTATGGGAAGATCAATAGAAAACTATTAAAAATAAAAGAATAAAGCTATTATCTTTATATTAGTATATATAATATTTTATCATAAAATAATTGTTGTATATATTGATTTGAAGTAAGGGAGCAATTAGTAAGGAATGTAAGTTAAAAAAATAAAATAAGAAGGAAGAGACTATAATTTTCTTTGCTATGCTCTGTCCTCCCAAGATTTGTATAGCTGTTTGCCTTTATTATTATTGTTTTTTTTTTTTTTTAATTTTCGATCAAGACCCTTATCCTCCTTGAGTTCTAATGAAAGTTTTGCTATAATCAACTGATTTATATAATATATGATATTTATTGATTATCTATAACACCAAATCTAAATACATCTCTTTTTAAATGATCTTTTTAATTAATTAGTTGGTAAAAATAATAATCCTAAGAGTTGGAGTTTTCATATTTTTTTTGTTATTTTTTTATATTATATAAAAATCTCATAATAATAAATTTAAAAGGAACTAAATACCAACACTTGCATCATCTACTTTCCTCTACTGATTTTTTTTTTTTTGGGTAAATTATTGGCGAAAATTATATTATTAATAAAATTTTTATTTAGTATTTACTTATAAAAAAATATTAATATTTTCTAAAAAAATAAAAAGGGAAATAAAATGTTAGAGTGACAGGGTGTTGAATGACAAAAGAGCAGATACGTTGTAAGAAGTCCACACTCTCTTTCCTGACAAACCTTCACCAATACGCACAGCGGCTCAGTCCGTCTTCGTTTCTCAAGTCTCCTGTTCTTCTCTCTGAGATTAAGGTCAGGGTGGTTT